AGGGAGAAGCAGACTCCCTGCTGAGCAGGGAGCCCGATGCGGGACTCGATCCCGGGACTCCAGGATCATGACCCGAGCCGAAGGCAGTCGCTTAACCAACTGAGCCACCCAGGCGCCCGAGCTATTATTACTTTAAATAAATTTTTGCCCCCCTTTCTCTCTCTCCTCCTCCTTCTGGGATCCCTAATAAGCAAATGTTATTACACTTGATGGTGTTTCTGAGTTCACTTAACCTATTCTCATTTTTTATTATTCTTTTTCCTTTTTCCTGTTCAGCTTAGTTACTTTCCATTACTCAGTCTTCCACCTCACTGATCTGATCTGTTTCCTCTAGTCTATTTATTACCTCTAGTGTATTTCAAATTTCACCTATTGAATTCTTCATCTCTGGTTGGTTCTTTTTTATATTTCTTTTCTCTTTGTTGAAGTTCTCACTGAGATCCTCCACTCTTTTCTCAAGTCCAGTGGGTATCTTTATGACCATGACTTTAAATTCTCTATCAGGCATATTGCTTATCTCTATTTCATTTAGCTTCTTGCTGTGATTTTGTCCTGTTCTTCCATTTGGGACATATTTGCCATCTCCTCATTTTTTCTAACTCACTGTTTCTAAGTGTTAGGAAAGTCAGCTACATCTCCTGCTCTTGAAAGTAGCGGCCTCATGAAGAAGAGGTTCTGTAGTGCCCTTCAGTGCAATGACCCCTGTTCACTAGAACCTGGCACTTCAGTCATGTCTCTTGTGTGTGTTGTGTGCACCTTACAGTTGTGGCTGAGCTGCATTTGCCTTTAGTTCAGTTATCTGCAGTGGCTCTCTTTGCTTGTTTTGAGCAGGGTTTGGTCCCTGTGTTGTTAGTGGGCCAGTATGGGGCTGCCTTGGGCTTGGGTTGAGTCAAATCAGGCATTTGCCAGAGCTGTGGTAGCACCAAACTGCAGTGTGCGGTTCCTGTATCATCCTCCTAAGAAGGGTTTGTTGATGGGTAGGGCCTGCTGTCAGACCAGATGTCTGCCCCCAGCCCACTGCTGAGTCCACAGTTGGAGAGGTGTGTATGGTTCTCTTCCCCTCTCCTTGGGGCAGGAGTCACTTTGGTGTGGTGCTGGCTCCTTTTGGGGCTGCTTGCATACTGCCTTGTTTGTAGCATTGCTTTGGATGGACTGCCAAGGGCACATTGGAGGTGGATGGATCCATAGGAGAATATAGGGGCAGGGTGCATGGTACCAAAAGGTGCAGGAGGGGATCTGCAGTTGCCTGGAAAAAAATCCCACTGATGCTGGGTTGGAGGGGGTGAATCCACAGAAGAGCATGCGGGATAGGGCATAGTGTTAGCAAGCTAGGTGGAGAGTGTTTGAACTGTGCTGGTTCTGGCAGATGTCTCTGTATCTAGGTTGGGAAGTGGGAGGGAGAAATATCATGTCAGTTCTTTTGTTCTTGGAGAAGTCTCCCAAAGACTTCTCTGTCCCTTCAGCACACACTCTGAGATTAGTAAATAAATCTCTCCTGTACACCCCAGACATTTTTCAAACTGCTGCTTCTGTGCTGTATCTCAAAAGGACTGTTTGTTATGCCATCTCTTTAAGAGCAGGGACTCAGTTTCCTATCACCCTCTGACTCTCCCAGAGCTGAATCTGCTGATTTTTAAAGTTCTAGGTGTTAAACCCACTGACTGTAAGAACACACACAGTTAGGCCCTTCTGGTTTTTAAAGCCAAATGTTATGAAAAGTCATCTTCCCAGTGTAGTTCCCTGGGTCTGAGGTACCAGTATGTGGTCTGCTCCTCTCCCCTCTCCATGCCCATGATGTTCTATTCTCCCATGGACAGTCCCATGAGTCAGTTTGGCTCCTGACTCTGTTTCCACCCTTCCTACCCTCTTCTCTACAGTTAACTGTGGAGAGTCTGTTCTGCCAGCCTTTGGGTCATTTTCTGAGTTATTTATATTGATGTGGGTTTTCTCTGGGTGTATCCATAGGACAAGGTGAGCCTAGGACCTTCCTCCTCTGCCATATTCCCTGGAAGTTTAAGATTAGTTTTTGTATTTTTAAAAATCTGGGAGGAAACCAAAAGAAGAATAAATTATATGAAATTTGAATTTCAGTGTCATAAAGTTTTATTGGAACATAGCCATACAAATTCATTTACATGTTGTCTATGGCTGCTTTCAGCCTACAGTGCAGAGCAGTTGTAACAGAGATGAATGACCTGCAAAGTGTAAAACATTTACTATCTAGACCTTTAAAGAAAATGTTAGATGACACATGATGATCACATGTTTATTCTCTTTTACCCTACTAATTATCAGGTAGGATGATTTCAGCCGCAAGTAACAGAAATTATGACCCAAACTTGTTTAAGGAATATGAACATTTATTATCACATGTAGACAGTCTCCAGGGATGGTATAGTCATTCTTCATGTCTTATTCTCCCGGCTTTGCATCCAATGTTGTTTGTCTTTGCCCTTAAATGCCCTCCCTGCCCAGACAGATTCTTTTGATTTTGATTTTCTTCGTCTCTAAAAAAAAATTTCTCTGACAACACAAGTATAATTATTTGCAGGGATTGGTTTCTAGGGATTTTGTATATTTATGCTTTACCAAATGTAGTTTAAGAACATATTAATCTGGGCACCTGGGTGGTTCAGTTGGTTAAGCGTCTGCCTTCGGCTCAGGTCATGATCCCAGAGTCCTGGGATCAAGTCCCGCATCAGGCTCCCAGCTCCGTGGGGGTCTGCTTCTCCCTCTGCCCCTCTCCCACTCATGCTCTTGCTCTCTCTCTCTCTCTCTCAAATAAATTCTTTTTTTTTTTTTTTAAAGAACATGTTAATCTGATTTCCAAGTACATGATCATGTGGGTGGACACTTCATGCCATATGCAAATGGTCATGTCACATATGCAATGACACACTGAGATCTTTGAAAATGTCCTCATGGTAAGATATTTAATATAACCATGAAACTTTCCAAACCTTTCTGTGTCTCCCTGATGTTTTCTGTCTTAAAGATTACTTTAGTGGCTGGGCTTTTTAGGAACAGTACTTGAGAAGCTTTTTAGGCACCGATGGCCTTGTGAATGAAAATGTCAATGACGAAGGGCCTGAAGTGCTGGCCAAGTGTGACGATAATCTTTTCATTTTTGTCACCTGATATCCAGTCAATTTCCTGAGGGATATAACCCTCATCTAGCACAGAGTAGAGCTGAAAGAGTGACAAAAGAGTAGCTATGTTTTTCCACCCAATCTAAATGTGTCTGTCTGCATCCAAAAGCAAATGTTTCTTAAAAATTTCAGTTGCATGGGGCGCCTGGGTGGCTCAGTCAGTTAAGGGTCCACCTTCAGCCCAGGTCATGATCTCAAGGTCCTGGGATCAGGCTCTATGCTCAGTGGGGAGTCTGCTTCTCCTTTTCCCCCCTCACTCATATGCTCTCTGTCTCTCAAATAAATACTCAAAAAAATTCCAGTTCCATGAAGATCAAAAAAGTTTAGTGCTAATAAAAAAAAATTTAACTCAAAGGCAATGATTAATATTTTTAAAAAGAATATTCTATCATTTAAAATACTCATCCATCTAGATTATTTTTGACTGGAACATCCTACACTTTAGGGTAGGTTATCTGTTCATATGTATGAAATATCAAAATGTAAAGTTTTCATTCGAATTTATAAAAAGGAACATTTCTTGTGAAAAAGGGAATAAAACATATTTTAAATTAAAAGGCTCAAATCTAGAAATCTAAGTGAAGTTGAAAATAACCAAAATGAGAGAATAGAGATCTCATTAAAAGTCCTTTAATATCAGCCTGAATTTCTGAAGAATGTAAAATAATTACATACTTTTTGCAAGTTTGGGTAAGTATTTGATCCACTGGTGCAGTGTAGAGTTTCCCAGGAGGTAAAAGAATTTTCAAACAGTCATTTATTTCAGTTGTATTTATCTGAATCTGGTTATAAAATATTGTAATCCACCTTCCTTCTGAAGTATACCTACCAGGGACAGGAATCTTCATTCTGACTTGGTACTTGTCTTTTATTTTTTCACTCTCTAGTAACAGAAACACTTGTGGTAAGTGATTTTATTGGCATAAATTAAATATCTAACCTTTCTTTGTCCTTCCCTTTGTTGATTTCTTTCTGTCTTCCTCAAACTCCTATTCCCTGATTCCTTCCCTTTCTCTTACTATTTTTTGATCACCAGCTTTGTTTTAGCCATTTCTACTCATTCATTTGAGAGATGAGTCATTTTGACTCCTTCTTGTTCATTTTCTCCCATAGTTAGCCCTTTGTCTCTAACTCGAATATTAGTGTTCTAAAAATTGGTGTCCTTGCACCAAACTACTTACCTTTGTTCCATTAATGAAGCAGTAGTTTTATTTTCTCTATGAAATTTTTTTTCCATAGGAATATTTTTGTTAAAAACTAGCTTAAAAATATAATACACCCACATTTAAAAAAATACCCAAACAGTAAAATACCTAGTTTGAATAGTTTTGTGAAATCCTATTTTAAAAATAGGATTTCACAAAAAGTAACATACAGCAGACAACACAAACTAATATTTTGAGATTTTACATCAAGTTCCATTAGAATTACAGGCTCTGTTAGCACATGTCTGCCTTCCAAGGCGTCATATGTAACAATGCACCAAAAGTTTTGCTATGGCATAATGAAAATCATCAGATTGCTCACCTGTCAAATTTCCTTTTAACTCACTATGCCCCTCCCCATCCCCACTGAGTGAATGCCTTCTATTTTAAGTTTGTTACATAGCATTTCTGTACTGATACCATATTCTGTATTAGACAGGAAGCAAACAATAATGACTTAAAAATATAAATTTATTTATCCCTCACATAACAGTCCTAAAGTAAACAGGCCGAGGCCAATATGATGTTCCGTGGTTTCAAGGGCTCCTGTTCCTTCTGCCTTGTTCTGCCACTCTTTTTTTGGAGAAGGTATGATAATCTTAACTTTATTAGTTTCTTATAGCTTTACTGAGGTATAACTGACAACAAATAACTACATGTATTTAATGTATGCAGTTGGGTAAATTTGAACATATGCTTATACCCATAATACCATCATCACAAGGTGCTATTTTTTTTTTAAGATTTTATTTATTAGAGTGTGCATGAGTGGGAGGGTGGGGGGAGAGGTGGAGGGAGAGGGAGAAGCAGGCTCCCCACTGAGCAGGGAACCTGACGCAGGGCTCAATCCCAGGACCCTGGGACCATGACCTGAGTTGAAGGCAGACGCCCAATCGACTGAGCCACCCGGGCACCCCGTGGTGCTATTCTTAACATATGACATCAATCTCATGGTCTAATATGGCTCTTTGATCTCTCAGCATTATATCTAGAGTTTAATCAATAGGAAGGGGAGAGCAAGTTGTTTTACTCTTAAGGCATGACCTAGATGTTTCCCATAGCACTTCCACTCATAATCCTGGCCAAAATATAGTTACGGTCACCACTAGCTGCAAGGAAGACTATAGCCTTTAGGTGGGTGACCATAGGCCCAGATAACATAATGGTGTTTTGTTACCAAAGAGGGAAGGGAGAATGGATACTGGGAGACCACGCCCAGTCTCTGCTTTACTCTCCATGCTTAGTCCCCCATAAACCTTGCATTCCCTGGTTGTCTAGATCCACAGAATAGTCATACACATGATTGTACTGTGTTTGTAACCTGTGGACAAAGTGGAAAAATAGTGATGGTGGAAGAATTGGAAAATTCTGAAATAAGAATTTTTCAGGTAATCCTGGAATAGCTAAGTCCTGGTGATCTGGTTTGCTAAAGAGTTTCCATAATCCTGTAATTATATTAAAAATTTAGTGTGACATGGTTGGGTTTCTGTGAGGTTTGGTAGCATTGCACCCTGGATGACTGGATATTGTTATCCTGGAATCTTAAGATCCATACACCAATCCTAATAATGTAGTGGCATGCTTTGGTGAGAAGAGAGCCTTTATGTCCTCATGGTAAGATATTTAATATAACCATGAAACATAAACATGAAGCTTATTATTGTAAACCATATCTTGTACAATATTTATGTGTCAAGGTATTCATTTTGCCAAGTGTCAAGCTAAGTGCTCTGAAAGACTATCAGATATATAACAAATTTTCTTATGATTAGTATTAATGCTTACTTAACAGTATATTAATAATAAGATTCCATTATATTTATTGATTAAAGATTACAGTAGAGAGACTAATGTCCCCCCAAAGATACCTGCACTCTAATCCCTGGGACCTGTGAATATGTTACCTTCCCTGGCAAAAGGGACTTTCCAGATATGATCATAGGTATGGATTTTGAGATGGGAGATTATCCTGGATGATCCAGGTGGGACCAATCTAAATCTCATGTGTCCTCAAAAGTGGGAGAGGGAGGCAGAAGAGTGGGTCAGAAGGATGTGATGTGGGAACTTGACCTATTGTTGTAGTTTTGTAAAATGGTGGATGGGGCTGTGAGGAGGAACAAGGGCACCTCTAGAAGCTGGAAAAGGCAAGGAAGCTGATTCTGCCCTAACATGGCTCTTTGATCTTCAGAAAAGAATGCTGCCAATACCTTTATTTTAGCTCAGTGAGACAGATGTTTGACTACTAAACCACAGAACTGCAAGATGATATATTTTTATTGTTTTAAGCCACTTTGACACCTTTCAACATCAAGTCATCCCATCCAACAACTTTTATAGAAATAGAAGAAAAAAAGCCCCTTAGTTTATCACTTAGTAACATTAAACATCTCTTTCTGTAGATCATGCACATTTTAAAATTTTTTAAATTTTTTAAAAAAAGATTTTATTTATTTATTTGAGATAGAGTGAGAGAGAGCACAGGCAGGGTGGAGGGGCAGACGGAGAAGCAGGCTCCCGGCTGAGCAGGGAGTCCGATGCAGGGCTTGGTCCTAGGACCTCAAGATCATGACCTGAACCGAAGGTAAACAATGGACTGAGCCACCCAGGCGCCCCTAGATCATACACATTTTGTTAAATTTGTGAAATAGCTTTTCAGAGCACAAAGTGGATCATATCACTCTCTTCCTTAGTTGATTTTTGTAGCTTTCAAAAGCTTACTGAATGAATCCTAAAATTCTCAGCATGGTCATTTAGTTTCTTTCTTTCTAGCCTCTTCTTTTGCTATGGTCCACTAAATACTCTCACTTCATTGGCCTACTGAACAAAGTTCATGGTGATTTTGCTTACGAGTAGAGTTATCAGATAAAAAAATTACAGGATACCAAATTAAATTTGAATTATTTCTAATAAGGAATAACTTAGTGTATTTTCCATGCAGTATTTACTCTTTATCTTATGTAATATGCATAAACAATTTGAAATTACTCAAATTTAACTTATACCCTTGATGATTATTTGCTAAACCTGGCAACCCTACTCGTGATCTTTATGAGTTTTCTCTTTCACCTCATTCTCTGTCTACAGATATCCTTCAGGGCTAAGTCAAATATCAACTTTAACATAAGCCCTTGTCTTTTTACTTTCTTCATAGAATTGGTAGGTTGAATGTCTTTCAGATTGCAACCTTGCTGAACATTTATTTTTCTCCATTTGCCCATAATTCCTCATATCTATTAGAACCTTGATAAACATTTGAAGAATACATGAATAAATATTAGGCAATAAATCATTAGTTGAAATAAATCTCAAAATGAATGTTATTGGTAAACTCAGATAGGCTTTGTAGAAAGTTATTTTAAAGCCAAGTATAAACATTATTCTTTTATAAGTAACATGGCTTTGCATTTGCCACTAAAACACATTTAATAAAAAGGACACTCCATATAAAATTGCTAAGTGCATAAACTAAAGGTTAGGAAGTTATGCCAACAGAGAATTAGGATAACCAAACCAAAATGTTCCTATTCTGAAGCTGTGGGTAACCATCAAAGACATTTGCACAGTGCCCCAGACATCACTGACTCTAGGAGATGCACTACCATGTTTAAATATGAATGTAGAATACTAACACTTTACACTTTTGGATAAACAACTATAAAAATCTGTTATAAAAAGAATTTGAAATAATTTCCTTGAGCTGATTTCTCTCTTTAAAATCCAAGGTGACTGACATCACAAATACCTGCTAGGAATTGTGCTCCAGGAAATCCATGATTACTAGGATTCATATTGATAAACTTACCCCTGCATAAGAATGTCTCTTGGAAGACCCACGCCAAGCACCACCCACCACAGGACAGAGCAAACTTACTATTACATTGGAGATGTCCTTGAGTTTAGGAGGTTTCACCATTTCACCTCCCACATTGAACATTCAGAAAACAAGGTAACAAATTAGCCTTCTGTCTGTCCATACAATACAGGTAATAGAAGTCTTTTGCTTGTGAGTAAAAAATAATTTAAAATTTTCTACAAGTGAAAATTGTGAATTTTGTATGTATTGGGCATTGTATATGGATTAGCATTTTGGAAAACTGTCTACCTTTCTGAGAGCACTTGAAGTCCAGGGCCACTCTGCTCATCTGCCCCATGTGATCAGTGTGTCCTGGGATTTTCAATTCAAAATATTTAATAAGTTCTCTTCTTTCATTGTTTCTGCATCACTTATTCAAGTTCATGTAATAGTTTTCTTGGATTACTGTGAGCCTCTGATTAACCAAGCTGTCTCAGTTTTATCCCACCTATATTCTTCAATACAACTGCCAGAACACCCTTTCTAATTGCAAATGCAACTGCATTCATTACTATTTAAAATCCCAATGACTTACTTAAGGACTTCAGGCTCCTTAGCATGGTATGCAGACCTTTTTCCACAGGGTTCCTGCTTCTTACGTTTCTTGCTATGCTTACCTTCCATTTTCCCTAGAAACTCACCTTCTGATGATTGTGAACTATATCAAGGAAGGTAGTGCATTTGCCTGATTCATGGCTATCTCCCTAATATCTTCAAAGAGGCTGGCAGAAAGTCATGTTTAGTCTGATGCATGAATAAATATACTTTGCATTTCTTTCCTCCAGCTGATGACTCTTCCTGCTTCAAAGCTCTTATCCTCCTTTTGACTCACTCTTTGTTTCAAACCTGTGTATGTGTATATGTAAAAGGGATGTAGGAGGAATGGGGATCCAGGTACTAGGTATAACAAATATAAGTGGTACTTAACTCTCTGCTGTACATGACTCTCAGGTTCAATTCAGGAAAAAAGGAAGAGATCACATTTTCATCCTTACTGTGACTTTAGGCATAAGAATGGCTAGTGGGTAGGAAAAGATTTGGTGAGATGCACCATCAGAGATCAAAGAGAAAGAACAGAAACCCAACTGAGCTTTTACTTATTTCAGAAGGAAGTCAGGGACTACAGATCAACACTTGGGTAGCTACATGAAATCTGGAATGCATGTTATTTTTTCCGTATTTGCTATCCATATTTTACTTCCTCTTAGCATATTTTTTGAAAGCTTGAGGGAAGAAGGTAGCATTCCACTCTGTCGTCAAGCTTAGGGAAAATGATTCCTCAGGATCAAAATGGATAGTAGCAGAATGGAAAGGAAGAGGAATCGGACTGAGCTTCTGAAACTTAAAGTTAGCAAAGGAGCAAAAGAATCTGGAACTGATAAATTGTCTCAGGGCTTGGCCCACAGGTTCTGCATTTGTGGTGGTAGAGAGTTACCCTTTGCAAAATGGCTCCTGAAGAGATCATGATAGTTCATTCTAAGCAATGAAGTTTTCCAGTTTAATGGAGAACTGGTAGACCAAGGAGTGAGCATCTGTTTGTGAGCAAGGGAAGAAAGATATAGAATTGATGCAGCCATGATTGACGAGAGAAATATGCTTATATCCCAGTTTGTGGAGGCCTGTTAACTGGGGGCTTTTAAGAATCACTACATCACAATTTGGTGACTATGGACTCCTTCAACCTGAGCAGCACATGCTGAGGAGAGTCTGATCTTGAGATCAACTGGAGATGACCAGTAGGAGTTGGCTTTTGGGAAAGATTACTCAGGATGCAGTGTGGACAGTGGATTAGAGATGGTAGGATTGTTGGGAGGGAAGCTATGACAAGTAGTCTAAATGAGGTGATAATGATCTGAACTCAGTACTAGGCATGGAGAGAGATGAATGAATGCAAAAGATATTTAAGAGGTGGAATCTACATAATAGGATATGGGGATGAAGGCACATGGATGTCCATTTTCTCAAAGAATCCTTTTTTGGTGTAACATTTTAAACACATATCAGAATACTTTCACCCTGAACATATTTTATAAACCTAGGTCTACAGTAAAAGACATGATCGAATCTGAGAATACTGATCATAATGGGAAAGTAAAAGTACATATAACAGAGAGTTCCACTTTGGGCAGTCCTCTGTTAGTGAACATTTTGGTGAGAATGCCGATCTTGGCAGTAGGAGTCATAAAAAGGGATCTCACAAACACACCACATGTCTCACCAGACCTTGAGTAGAAGAGGCATCTGAAAATGTCATGTTCAATATTAATTGAGATGGGCAATATAGCTCTGCCCATGGGAACTTCTCAGAGTGTTTAAAAGTATATTTATGTGTGAAAAAGGCTTTATTCCTTGACAGATAAGAATCTCTCAATTCTGAATGGTCATGTGAATCAGGGCCTCACAGGGTGTGTGCTGAGGTCTCACGCAGTTCAGCACTTGAGTTTAGGGTCAGGCCATATTCAGTGAAGACATGAGTGGTGCCATTAACAAATTTACCTTTGAAAATAACCCTGTCATGGCCTTGGTTCCTTGCCCTCCAGAGAGCAGATACTCCTTCACTGGGGTGGATGATCAGGAGGACAGAGACCTGGCCTTCCCAGAACAGAGTGACACTGACAAGGTAGGTGCCATTGTGTTAAGTCTGTCACCTTTCCTGCAGTGTCTGCTTTTAGAGATGAGGATGACATCCTGGCCCTCGGGAAATACCACCTACTTTCCTTTCTGCATCCCAAGTGGTCTCTCCCCTCTAGTCGGATGTCTAGCTGATCTCCTCCTGCAGTAGGTGTCTCAAGGCTGGAGGATGTTGGCTGTGCTGTGTGCAGCACTGGTAGTGGTGTTCATGTGGGTGAAAGGTCTGGGTGGGATCAGCTGGTTTAGTTTCTCCATGATTCCCTTTATTCTTTGCTCAGTCTCTATTGGTGGCTTTAACGGGCTCAGTGATATTTTAGGGTATGAGGACTTCATGGAGGTATTCCAGTGATGGAAAGAGATAGGTAAGTTTAGACCAGACCAAAACTGAAATTACAAGGTATGTGACATAATGAAATGAACCAAGTCATTTTACTTATGAATTTGAATGTTTATTTACCTATCATCATATTATTTAAACTCTGATAATGTTGAATGACATGTAAACATTTTGTAAATTAAAAATTATTTTTTTAATTGTAGTTGATATGCAATATTATATTACTATCAGGTATATAACATAGTGATTTACCCATTCTTTACATTACAAAATGTTCACCAAAATCAGTATAATCATGTGTCAACATATGACGTTATTACGGTATTATTGACCATCTTCCCTAAGCTGTCCTTCTCATCCCCATGACTTATTTATAACTGGAAGATTGTACTTCTTAATCCCCTTTATCTGTTTCACTTATCCCTACTCTGCCCTCTCCTCAAGGCAATAAATAGTTTGCTCATTTGTTTATGAAATTATATTTGTCTTTCTCTGTTTGGCTTAATTCATTTAGCATAATACCCTCTAGTTCCATCCATGTTGATGCAAATGGCAAGATTTCATTCTTTTTCATGACTGAGTAATACTGTCTTTTGTATGTACATCATATGTCCTTTATCCATTCATCAGTCAGTGGACGCTTAGGTTGCTCCCATATCTTGGGTCATGTAAATAATGCTTCAATAAACATAGGGGTGCATACATCTTTTTGAATTAAGGTTTTCATTTTCTACAGGTAAATAACCAGAAGTGGAATTACAGAATAGTATTTCTATTTTTAACTTTCAAGGAATCTCCCTACTGTTTTGCGTAGTGGATGCACCCAATTTATATTTTCACCAACAGTGCAGTAAAGTACCTTTTGCTTCACATCTCTGCAAACACTTATTTCTTGTCTTTTTGATACTAGCTATTCTGATAGGTGTGAGGTGATATCTCCTTGTGGTTTTGGTTTGCATTTCCCTGATGATTAGTGATATTGAGCATCTTTTCCTGTGTCCACTGGCCATCCATATGTCTTTGAAAAATGTCTCTTCAGGTTCTTTGCCCATTTTTTTTTAATTTTAATTTTTTTAAAAGATTTTTTTTTTATTAGAGCATGCATGTGTGCATGTGCACGAGGAGGGAGCCCTATGCCCAGGACCCCAGGGTCATGACCTGAGCTGAAGGCAGACACTTAACGGACTGAGCCAACTGGGCACCCCTCTCTGCCCATTTTTAACTAGATTATCATATTTGGTATTGTGTGAGTTCTTTATATATTTTGAATATTAACACTTTGTAGGATATATCATTTGCTAATATCTTCTCCCATTAAATTGGTTGCTTTTCATTTTCTTGATAGTTTCCATCACTGGGCAAAATCTTTCTGGCTTGACATAGTCCCAGTGGTTTATTTTTGCTGTGTTTCCCTTACCTGAGGAGACATATCCATAAAATGCTGCTTGTTTTGTTTTAGATGTTTTTGCTTGTTTTGTTTTAGATGTTTTATGGTTTCAGATCTTACAGTTAGGTCTTTAATCCATTTTGAGTTTATTTTTGTGTATGGTGTAAGAGAGTGGTCCAGTTTTCCCAATACCATTTATTGAAGAGACTGTCTTTTCCCCATTGTATACTCTTGCCTCTTTTCTCATAGATTAATTTACCATGAAAGTGTAGATTTATTTCTGGGGTCCAGATCCTCTTCCCTTGATATATGTATTTATATTTGTGCCAGTACCATACTGTTTTGACTACTGTAGCTTGGTAATATATCTTGAAATCTGGAATTCTGGTACCTCTAGCTTGGTTCTTTCTCAAAATTGCTTTTGCAGTTTGGGGACTTTTGTGGTTCCATGCAAGTTTTAGGATTGTATGTTCTAGTTCTATGAAAAAAACTTGGTATTTTGATCAGGATTGCATGGAAACTATAGATTGCTTTGGGTAGAATGCATGGTTTAAAAATACTCTTCCAATCCATTAACATGATTTATCTTTTCATGTTTGTGTCACCTTTAATTACTTCCTCAGTGTCTTATAGTTTTCAAGTATAGGTCTTTCACTTGGTTAAATTTATTCCTAGGTATTTTATTCTTTTTAATGCAATTATAAGTGGGATTATATTAAATTTTCTGCTAGTTTGTTATTAGTGTATAGATATGCAGATTTCTATATATTAATTTTGTATCCTCAATTTTGATGAATTCACTTATTTTAGTAGTTGAAATCTTTAGGGTTTCTATATATGGTATCATGTCACCTAGAAATAGTGGCAGTTTTGCTTCTTCCTTAGCAATTTAGATAACTGTTATTTCTTATTCTTCTCTAATTGCTGCAGCTAGTACTTCCAGTAGTATGTTGAATAAAAGAGATGAGACTGGACATCCTTGTCTTGTTCCTGATTTTAGAGGAAAGGCTTTAGTTTCTCAACAGTGAGTGTGATATTAGCTGAGGACTTGTCATGTATTTCCTTTATTATGTTGAAGTATATTTCCTCTAAACCTACTTTGTTTTTATCATGAACGAATGTTGAATTTTGTCAAGTTCTTTATCTGCATCTATTGAGATGATCATATGGATTTTTTTTTAAGAGAGTGCAAGTGATGGGGGAGGGGCATAGGAAGAGGGAGAAACAGAATCCTAAGGAGGCTCCATGCTCAGCATGGAGCCCAATGTGGGGCTCCATCTCACAATGCTGAGATTATGACCTGAGCTGAAATCAAGAGTTAGACTCTTAACCAACTGAACCACCCAGGCTCCCCGATCATTCATTTTTGTTAATGTGGTATACCACATTGATGATTTGCTGTACTGAATAATCCTTGGAATAAATCTCACTTAAACATAGTGAATGAAGCTCTTACTGTTTGTGGATATGGTTTACAAATATTTTGAGGATTTTTGCAGCTATGTTCATCAGGGATATTGGCCTATATTTTTGTTGTGTATTTGTCTAATTTTGGTATCAAGGTAATGCTGGCCTCATAAAATGAACTTGGTAGTTTTCCTTCCATTTCTATTTTTTTGGAATAGTTTGGGAAGAATAGGTTAACTCTTTAAATGTTTGGTAGAATTCTCTGAGTCCATCGGGTTCTGGACTTTTGCTCGTTGGGAGAATTTTTGATTACCAGCTCGATTTCATCACAAGTAAACAGTATTCCAATTTTCTATTTCTGATTCCATCTTGGAAGACTGTATGTTTGTTTCCAGGATTTCTGGAAAGAAATCTAGGTTGCCCAATTTTATGGCATATAACTTTTCACAGTAGTCCCTTATTTTTGTGCTGTTGGTTATTTTTTGTCTTTCATTTATGCTATTTGAGTCCTCTTTTTCTTGATGTGTCTGACTAAAGGTTTATCAGGTTTTTCAAATAACCAGCTATTTATCTTTTCTATTGTTATTTCCTTCCTCTTATTAATTTTGGGTTTTTTTATTTTAAATTATTTATTAGAGAAGCAAGCTCCTTACTGAGCAGGGAGCCTGATGTGGGGCTCGATCCCAAGACCCTGGGATCATGACCTGAGCTGAAGGCAGATGCTTAACTGAGCCACCCAGGTGCCCCTGGGTTTTGTTTTGAAGTGCTGTGTTCGATTGATATTTTTCTTGTTTTTGATGTAGGCCTCCATTGCCATAAACGTCCCTCTCGGAACTGTTTTTGTTGTGTCCCAAAGATTTTTGACTGTAGTATTTCTAGTTTTATTTGTGTCCTGGTGTTTTTTTATTTCCTTTTTGTTTTCTCCATCAACCCCTTGGTTGTTTAGTAGCATTTTGTTTAGCCTCCATGTGTTTGTGTCTTTTTCTAGTTTCATACCATTGTGTTTGGAAAAAATTTTTGAATTCATTGAAACTTGTGTTCCTACATGTGATCTATCCTGGAGAGTGTTTTATGTGAACTTGAAAAGAATGTGTATACTATTTGTGGATGGAATGTTCTGTTCATATCAGCATAAGTTCACCTGGTCTAATGTCATTTAAAGCCACTATTCAATGTAAGTAGGGTGTTAAAGTTCCCTACTATTAGTGTATTATAGTTTCTCCCTTTATGTCTGTTAATATTTGCTTTATAGATTCAGGTGCTCCTATGGTAAGTGCATAGATATTTATAATTGTTATATATCCTCTGGTTTGATCCATCCCTTTATTATTATTTAATGCTGTTGTCTATTGCTTAGTCTAGTAGAGCTACACTGGCTCCTTTTTTTCCCTCACATCCTTTATTTTCAGTTTGTGTCTTTAGGTCTGAGGTGGGTCTCTTTTTGTTTTCAAAAAATTCATTCAGTCTCCCTAGGTCTTCTGATTGGAGTGTTTAATTTATTTACATTTAATTATTGATAGGTATGTGCTTATTGCCATTTTATTTTTCTTCTAGTTTTGTCATTCTGAACCTTTCTTGTCATGCATGATTCCTTTCTTTTATAGGTTTTTGATTTGTGGTTACCATAATGTTTATATACAACATCCTATGTATATAGCAGTCCATATAAAGGTGACTGTTGCTTAAGTTTAAACACATTCTAAAAACTACATTTTTTACTCCCTCTTCCATGTTTCATGTATTAGGACTACTAGCTTTGTAAATTTTTGATCTGCCCTTTCTATATGTTTGCTTGTAGCAGTGAAATTTAGAAGTTTCTTATATGACTGTTTAAGTGGTCTTAGACTCTAACTTTTGTTCATCTGGGAACCTCTTTATCTCTCCTTCAATTCTGAATGATAACCTTGCTGGTTAGAGTATATTTGGTTGTAAGATACCAAAGTTTCTGCTCAAGAATCAGCTTATAGCCTTATGTGGATTTTCTTGTAGGTAAATGTTGTTCTGTTCCTCTTTTAAAAATTCTCTTTAATTTTTATGTCATAATTAGTATGTGTCCTAGTGTAGACTTTTGGGTCCACATTGGGGCTCTCTGTGGATCCTGGAATTTAGTTAGGGAAGTTTTCAATGATTGTTTCTTTAGTTAAGGTTTGTTTCTTCTTCTGAAACTCATATTTTGAATTATATGATCCTTCATGTTCTCCTTGAGGTTTCTTCTATATCTGTTCTATATCCTCTACTGTTGATTCCTTCTAC